AAAAATCAGAATTTGGGGCTGGGGCAATGGCTTATAATGGATTCCCAGCACTTTGGGAAGCCAGTGTGGGAAGATTGCTTGAGGCCAGCCCAGGCAACATAGTGAGACCCTGTCTCTCTCTACAAAGATTTTTTTCTTTTTAGAGACAGTTTCACTTTGTCACCCTTGGTAGAGTGCTGTGGCATCATAGCTCACAGCAACCTCTAGCTCTTGGGGTTAGGCGATTTTCTTGCCTCAACCTCCTGAGTAGCTGGGACTACAGGTGCCCACCACAACTCCTACCTACTTTTTTGTTGCAGTTTGGCTGGGGCCGGGTTTGAACCCACCACCCTTGGTATATGGGGCCAGGGCTCTACTCACAGAACCACAGGCGCTGTCCTCTCTACAAAAAAATTTAAAAGTTAGCAAGGTGTGGCAGTGTACTTCTGTAGACCTAGCTACTTGGGAGGCTGAGATAGGAGAATCACTTGAGCCCAGGAATTGGAGGCTGCTGTGAGCTGTGAATTGTACCACTATACTCCATCCAGCCTGGGAAAGAGTGAGACGCCATCTTTAAAAAAAAAACAAGCAGATTTTTTTTCTTTTTTTTTTTCTTGCAGTTTTTGGCCAGAACTGGGTTTGAACCCACCACCTCTGGCATATGGGGTGGCCGCCCTCTCCTTTGAGCCACAGGCGTGACCCCAAAACAGAATTTTTTTGCATAAAAATCTGACCTGATTTCAGCTTATCTGTAAAGATCGGCAGTTCTGACCACATGGGGTCCATATTTCCCCGTAATCAGTTCTGAATCCCTGCTGCCCCTTCAGACAGGGCCCATACTCCCTGTCACCTCCAGACCCGCTACTTGCAGGGTAAGTACCCTCATGGGCTCTTAAACTGTCCCACTTCTGTCCCATGAGCCTGCCTGGCTCTATGCAACAAACTATCCCAAAACTTAGTGTCTAAAACAGTAACTATTTCTTTAGCTCACAAACCTATAAGTCAATGGTTTTGGCCATTCTCAATGGTGAGGTGGCCACCCGCACCTGTATGAGATCATTGTAGGTCAGCTGTGGTTGGCATTGTTGATCTTGCTGGGTCCTCTCATGTATCCTTGCTGCACAGCCCTCACCTACATGTAGTGACCTGCTAGGTCCCTAGTAAGGCCTGATTCCATCAGTGCTCTATGAAGACACCACCCTATCTTGTCTTTTCCCATTCTTCTTCTGTCAGAGAACTCTGACAAGGACAGTCCAGCTAATTGAGAAAATGTGTATGATGTTTCAGGAGCCAGTAACCTTCTGGGATGTGGCTGTGGACTTTACTCAGGAGGAGTGGGGGCAGCTGGATCCTACCCAGAGGACTCTGTACCGTGATGTGATGCTGGAGACCTTTGGGCACCTGCTCTGCATAGGTGAGACCTGCTTCTCAGGCTGTGGTGACTGATCCTCTAGGATGTGAGGCCTCTGGTGTGACAACATAACCTGTGTAATTCTCACTCCCTGTGGGACATGCATGCAGGAGATTGTCTGCCCTCTTCTGTCCCAATGCAAAGCCTTCACTTTTTTTGTGAGGTACCCATATGTTGTGATGGTGAGGACTTTAGACTGGAGCTTGGGCTAGATCTTTCTCTTCAGAGCGGTGGCCCACATCCTGTCTTTCCTTGTGTCCAGGTCCTGAGCTTCCTAAACCTGAAGTCATCTCCCAGCTGGAGCAAGGAGCTGAGCTATGGGTGGCAGAAAGAGGAACCACCCAGGGTCACTGTCCAGGTAAGAACCCACCAAAAGGTGCTGCTTTGGGGTCCTCAAGACCAATATATTTTCTATAAGCACACAGACTCAGCATAGAGTCATACTCATAGCTATGTACTTTTTTTGTTTTTTAAGATATGGTCTTGTTCTGTCACCTAGAGTATAGTGGTGTCTTCATTGTAATGTCAAACTTCTGGGCTAGGGCAGCACCTGTGGCTCAGTGGGTAGGGCACCAACCCCATATACTGAGGGTGGCAGGTTCAAACCCAGCCCCAGCCACACTGCAACAAAAAAACAGCTGGGCATTGTGACGGGTGCCTGTAGTCCCAGCTACTCTGGAGACTAAGGCAAGAGAATCGCCTAAGCCCAGGAGTTGGAGGTTGCTGTGAACTGTGACTCCCTGGCACTCTACTGAGGGCGATAAAATGAGACTCTCTGTAAAAAAAAAAAAAAACTTCTGGGCTAAAGTGATCCTTTTATCTCAGCCCCCCATGTAGCTGGAACTATAGATGCATGCTACCATGCTTGACTGATTTAAAAAATTTTTTTTTTGTAGAGACAGGGTCTTGATATGTTGCCTGTGCTAATTGCAAACTCTTGGTGTGAAGTGATCCTTCTGCCTCATCTTCCCAAAGTGTTGGCATTACAGCTGTGAGTCACAACGCCCAGCCAGCATGATTCTGATGTGATTATAACGAGTGATTATAACAAAAGCCCCCTCCTCCCATTGTTCTCCAGCTCTTCCCATGGGCATTTTTAGTCTCAGAATTGGACTGTTTTCTTCTAAGAGATTTATATGGATCAGTGGTACAAGGGATTTAATCTCTTTCATAGCATCACCTATGCTATCTCCCAGCCAGTCACCTGGCTTAGAACCTGTTCAGCAGCTGTTCCTGAGTGTCCATCATGTGCTATTGTCTGCACTGTGGATGCAGCAAAGAAAATGACAGATGAGGACAAGACCTTGCTTATTACTGGGGAAGACAGGGGTCTGAGACATGCATAGCAACACTAGGAGGTGGTATGGCTATGAAAAAAATTGTACCTAGGAAGGACAGGGTTCTCATGGACAAGACAGGCAAGGGAATCTCTTTGAGAATGTGACAGCAAGCTGGGACATGAGGGAAAGGTGGGCAGATATCTTGGGTAAGTACTCTAGGCAGAAGGAGCAGTGTGTACAGAGGGTCCAGGAGGAGTAGAGGGCTATACTGGAGGAAGGGTAGGGAGGCTGGTGGGGAGCAGAGTGAGCAGAGGCTGAGAGGTCAGGGAGGGGTGTTGAGACTGTCACCAGAAGTGACATGCAGGGTAAGTGTAGCAGCGACCAGGCTGACTTGTGGTAGGGAGTACATGGGTCTGTTTGGCTCTTTAATAGCTTTATTGAGATATAATTCAGATACCATAAAATTCACCCATTTAAAGTATTCAGTTCAGTGGTTTTGAATATATTCTGTATTCATAGACTATGTCCTTCAGCATTGTCTAATTCCAGAATATTTCATCACTATCTAAGTAATTTTGGGCTACCATAACAAAATACTGCAGCCTGGGTGGCTAAAACAACAGATATTTATTTCTCACAGTTCTGAAGGGCTGGAAGTCCAAGGCTAAGGTGCCAGCTGATACAGTTTTTGATAAGGGCCCTTTCCTTGTTTGCAGAAGGCTTTGCCACTGTGCCCTCAGATGGCAGAGGGAGGAAGTAAGCTCTCTGGTGTCTGTTCTTATGATAGCACTATCTCATTTACAAAGGCTCTGCAATGCAAGACTTAATCACCTCCCCATGGAGAGTCTCCATCTCTAAGACGTTCACATTGGAGTTTAAGAATTTCAACACGGGGTGGTGTCTATGGTTCAGTGGGTAGGGCGCTGGCACCATAAGCAAGTTCCAATCCAGCCCCAGCCAAACTGCAACAAAAAAAAATAGCCGGGCATTGTGGCAGGTGTCTGTGGTCCTAGCTACTTGGGAGGCGGAGGCAAGAGAATTGCTTGAGCCCAGGAGTTGGAGGTTGCTGTGAGCTATGATGCCATGGCACTCTATCCAGGGCGACAGCTTGAGGCTCTGTCTCAAAATAAATAAATAAATAAATAAATAAATATATATAAAGAATTTTGACATGAATTTTGAGGGAATATAAACATTCAGGCCATAGCAGTCACCCCCAAAATTGCCCATCTTCCTAGCTCTGGAACTTACTTCTACTACTTCTGTTGTATATTTGCCTGTTCTGGACAGTTGATATAAATGGTGTCTTACAATTTGTGACCTTTGTGTCTGACTTACTTCACTTAGCGTAATGTTCATAAGGCTTATGTATGTTGCAGCATATCAGTACTTCGTTCCTTTTTATGGCTAAATAATATTTCATTGTATGAATAGACCACATTTTATTTATCCATTCATCTGTTGACAAGCATTGGGGTTGTTTCTACTTTTTGGCTGTGTGAATAGTGCTGCTGTGAACATTCATATACAAATTTTTGAGCCAACTTGTATTTTATAACAATCCTCTTTAAGTGTTATATATAGAGTTGAATTTAGGGAAAAGAATTGAGTCCCTCCAGTGTTCCCTGAGACAGATATTCTTGGCACCTATGACCTATCAGGGTACTGGCTGTGGACATGCTGGTGAAATGGACTCTGAAAGAATGAGTATGTGTCATGGCAGGACTGGAGCAGATGAGGAAGCTTAAGAGAGAACGAGGAGAGCAGGGAAGCCTGGCCCACAATGAAGTCCATGTCCTAATCCCCAGACCTGGTTACTGTGGGTTATGGAGTGGGCCCAATGCAGTCGTGAAAGTCATAAAATGGAGGCAAAAAAGTCAATTAGAAAAGGAGCTATGATAGCAGAAGCAGAGATCCCTGAGAGAGGGATTTGAATATAGCATACTGCTGGCTCTGGAGATAAAGGAATGGGCCCAGGAATGCAGACAACCTCTGAAACTAGAAGAGGCAAGGAAACATTTTCTGCTAGAGCCTCCAGGAGAAACCAGCCCTGCCAACACTTCTGCTTTCTTGGAACTGTAATAAACCTGTGTTGTTTTAAGGTGCTAATTTTTTTTTTTTAATTGAGACAGAAACTCACTTTGTTGCCCTCTGTAGATTGCTGTGGTGTCATAGCCCAGCTATATTTTTAGCAGGCTTGGGCCGGGTTCGAACCTACCAACCCTCATGCATGTGGCCAGCACCTTAACCACTGAGCTACAGGTGCCTAAGGTGCTAAATTTTGTGGTAAGTTGCTATACCAGGAAACTAGTACAGCTTCACTTCATTGTCAGAACCTGGCCCACAGCAGATACTCAATATTTGTGGATGTGTTTGAAGACAGGGCACATGGTGTCAAAATAGGAGAGCTGGGCATGGTAGTTCTTGCCTGTGTAATCCTAGCACCCTGGGAGGCCAAGGTGGGTGCATTGCCTGAGCTCATGAATTCAAGACCAGCCTAAGCAAGAGTGAGACCCATCTCTACTAAAAATAGAAAGACTAGGCTTGGTGCCTATAGCTCAGCAGCTAGGGCGCCAGCCTCATACACCAGAGCTGTTGGGTTCGAATCCAACCTGGGCCTGCCAAATAACAATGACAACTACAACCAAAAAATAGCTGGGCGTTGTGGTGGGCACCTATAGTCCCAGCTACTTGGGAGGCTGAGAAAAGAGAATCCCTTAAGCCCAAGAGATTAAGGTTGCTGTGACCTGTGACACCAGAGCACTCGACTAAGGGCAACAAAGTGAAACTCTGTCTCAAAAAACAAAAAACAAACAAAAAAAATTTGAAAGACTAACTGGGCATTGTGGTAGACGCCTATAGTCTCATCTACTTGGGAGCCTGAAGCAGGAGAATTGCTTGAGTCCAAGAGTTTGACATTGACATGAGCTATGACACCATGGTACTTTACCCAAGGTAACAGAGTGAGACTCTGTCTCAAAAAAAAAAAAAAAAAAAAATTCTAAGAAAGCATGGAGGAGGAGGGAAGGAAAGAGAGAATCAGGAGACTTGCCAGTACAGGTTAGTAGGACCCTAACTGAGTAGCATGAGGTATTAGAGGCCTGTCCCCATTGCTTGTTTTTTCCCCCAATCTCTGAGAACTGCTTGGTTTTCTTTTAGGCTGGGACCCTAGACGGGAAGACCAAGCATCACTTAAGGAGCAGGGCCTTCCTGAAGAAGAGACAACTGGTCTCTCCATGTTAAGGGAAGTCTGGGAATCTGAGGAGAGCCTGGACCAGGTACTCAAGAAGGACCAGAATAACTTGAATCAATTGGAATTTGTCCTCAAAGAAGCACCAATTCAAGATCAAGGCTACGAAACTCTCAGACTTAGGGAAAGCTATGTGGTGAGTTCAAACCCAAATCCATTCCCAGAGAGTTCTAGGAAAGACTGTTTCCCTACTTATGACTCACAGGTTACAAACTCAGAACATAACTTGAGCTTAGTCAGTCAGCAGACAGTGTCCCCAGGAAAACAGGCCCATGATAACAGCGATTGCCTCAAAGCTTCTGGTCAGGCTGTTACAGAACTTGCAAGAAGTCAGGTACAAGATAAACCCTACAAATGTACTGACTGTGGGAAGTCATTTAACCATAATGCACACCTCACAGTGCACAAGAGGATTCATACAGGAGAGAGACCTTACATGTGCAAAGAGTGTGGGAAAGCCTTCAGCCAGAACTCTTCCCTCGTTCAACATGAGAGAATCCACACAGGAGACAAGCCCTACAAGTGTGCCGAATGTGGGAAATCTTTCTGCCACAGCACACACCTTACTGTCCATCGGCGGATTCACACAGGGGAGAAACCCTATGAGTGTCAAGACTGTGGACGGGCCTTTAATCAGAATTCATCCTTGGGCCGGCACAAGAGGACACATACTGGAGAAAAGCCATACACCTGCAGTGTTTGTGGAAAATCCTTTTCTCGGACCACTTGCCTTTTCCTGCACCTGAGAACTCACACTGAAGAGAGACCCTATGAATGCAACCACTGTGGGAAGGGCTTCAGGCACAGCTCGTCCCTGGCCCAGCATCAGCGAAAACATGCTGGTGAGAAGCCCTTTGAGTGCCGCCAAAGGCTGATCTTTGAGCAGACACCAGCTTTAACGAAGCATGAATGGGTAGAACCCCTCACGTGCAACACACCTTTGAGTCAAGATGAGAGGACTCACCAAAATGACAGGCCCTTTAAATGTAATCAGTGTGGGAAGTGTTTCATTCAGAGCTCTCACCTCATCCGACATCAGATAACTCATACCAGAGAGGAGGAGCCCCATGGGCGTAACCACCGGCACGAACAGTCCTTTGGTCGTAGCTCACACCTTGTCCGGCGTCAGTACTCTAATTCAAGGGAGAACTCTGCAGGTGGGGCAAAGGCAAGACAGCCAGAAAATGGGGCTTTGGCCTTGTTTGACATTCATGAAATCATGCAAGAGAAAAATCCTGTGCACGTTATTGGGGTGGAAGAGGCTTCTATGGGTGCTTCCATGTTAATTGACATCAGAGAATCCACATAGGAGACAAACTGCAGATGACTTTTAATCACAGATACAAAAGTGTGGTAAGTCCACATAGTATAATCATGGACAGAGGAGCTAGGAGTAGAAATATTGATGATGACTTTTGACTTTCTGTGGAAATTGTGCTTCCCAGACACCTGAGATTGATGGTTCCCAAATCTATCAAACTTAGTACACCCTTGAACTATACTTTATAACGTTCTTTCTGTTAACTCTAAAATGAGTTAACAAGTAATAAAACCTACTCACATGGGTAATGTCAAAAAATCAGTATACAGCCTGCTTTGTAAAGGATAATTAAAGTTTATTTATAGTAATGTAATAGAGTAATGGGTGCCAAGTCTGTGCAGTATGTCTCTTGTCATTGTGTGGGCCCAGTGACACCAGAAAACCTGGGGCAATAGTTTGTTGCTTATGAACTGGTACAGGCTATGGTGTTGGCCAGGAAGTACAATACAGACATTGTTGTATGAGCTACAATTTTCCAAAGTAGTGACGGAAAAGTTTTGAACAAAACAAAATGCGGTTGCATTTCTGGAAAGTTCTGTATAAATTCCAAGCATGTAACAATTAATTTGTGTTTATGTGTGACGGTGATTTCCTGTACTGCAGACAGATTGTTTCACATCTGTGTCCATGGGCCCCTGGGAACAACTCTGTGCTTCATAGTCATTACAGTGTTGTTGGCTCCTGCTCTCATTTCAACCACACACACCTTCAAATCGTGACATAGAAGCCCAGTAAAATTTTACCACATTTCGTGGGGATTGAGGGCATTGTCACAGTCCTTTTGAAAGCTACTGCCTTAGAATGAGCCTGAGGTTCTCAGTTGGGTGGCTTTTACCCTCAGAAGACATTTAGTGATTTTTGGAGACGTTTCTATTTGCAGTGATGGGGGAAGGGTGTCATGTACATCTAGTAGAGGCCAGGGAGGCTGTTCAGCATCATACAGTGCCCAAGACTGCTCCTCAGGAAAGAATTTTCTAGCCCCAAAAGTCAATAGTACCAATGTGGAGAAGCCCTGGCATAAGCACAGCCCAGTAATATAACTGACATTTGTTAAACTCTGAGAATTGATTAATTGGGGCTATAGTATCATATAAGTTTGATTTTAACCAATTATGTCATCAGTTAGTTTATACAGAATATATTTTTTAATTAGTCTTGCATATTTGTAGCATTCATAATAGAAAAGAAGAGAATCACTTATTTTTCTGAATAATCTTTTAGCATTTGTTGTGGGCATTTTAAACATGAATAATGTATTTTCACTGCTATCCCTACCCCTTTCTTGCCACTGGATTATTTTCACATCAGTCCCAGAAACCTTATTATTTTGTCCGTATTTCTGAGTATATCTCTAAAGGGCAGGACTTTGAAAAAAAAAAAAAAAAAATATATATATATATATATATATTGGTCCATGGGGACAAAACCATTTGTATAATCATACTAAGACATTTGCCTTTTTTGCTGTGCACTGGTTTAAAAACAACAGTGGATAGAACTGCCAAGGCTGAGTTCCAATCAGGGCAGTGGCCCCAAGGTTCTTTGTATTTTTCTCTACTGGGCACTGCAGTTAAGAAAAAATGCTCATTTCACGTAGTGGTCTGTGATGAAACAGGAAAAATTATTAATTTTATCAATATTAAATCTCAAGTAGAGCTATATTATCATTATTGCGTATCAAATATCTAGTATTCTGATGTTCTTGGTTGTCTCAAATTTTTTTTCTATTTGTTTTGTTATGATTATGATCAAAACAAGTTCTACACAAGTGTGTTTGGTTACTTTTCTTTCTTAAATCTTTTAACATTCCTTTTTAGTCTTTTACTTGTTGAAATAAATAAAAACAGAATAACCTAAATTTTGTCCCCACCTTGCACCCACCCATCACAGCCTGCTGAGAGGCCTAATGAGGTTGTGTGACTCTGCTGGATTCTGGCTATTCTCAGAGTTCATCTCCCTCACCTTGCTTGGGGCCTCTACTGGAGGACCACTGAAGACCTTTCTGTCAACTCTCAGTGACAGAAAACATAAAAACATACTCATAATTTTATACAAAGCAGGATTTTTTTTTTTTTTTTTTTTTTTTT